ATTACGTATTATCAAGTATTAAACTATCTATATTCCATTACTCATGAAGTAATGCAAAGAAAAAAGCTAATGCTCCAAATCCAAAAGGAAAGGTTTATTGGTCAAGGTACAGGGGAAAACAAAAGTCCAAAAAAGACATATATGTCTAAAGACCGGATGACCAGAAACATGTAAGGCAGATTTTTTTGGCTTCTGTTTGTCTATATACCTTTGCATACCTGTCTTAAATTTTTATTACACAGTATTTGTTGAGGATTATTATTAAGATTGGTGGTTATGAAAGCTAGGACCTGTTTACATCCATTCTACTATTTGTATTCCTAGCAGTTGAACTTTATGATCACTTGTCCACTTCTTTTCATCACCTAATTTATTTTTCTTTTCATTATGTCTGTTAATATGGATTTAATCATCACTTGAATATGATAATGCATATTGATCATGTTGCCTTTCCTGAACTGCTTAATAAAAAATAATATAGTGAAAATGTAAACTTGTCTGTAGTTTCTTATTTGTTTCTCCTCGTTGCTTTATTGGATATTTCTGCATGTACTCAAAAACATTTTGTTATTGGTGGTCTTTGATGACTAGTTTGAAACTGCTACTTTAAGATGCTTATCCAAATCTGAATTTATTTAAGAAGACTTTGCAAATTGTGTACCTCAGTATTTTAATATAAAAAAGAAAAATCTTAATTATTTTTTAAAGGCATCCCAAAATCATCAACTGATCAGGCAACCAAACCTCCAAGCCACAGCAATAATCGCAGATAATTACTTGACTAAATTGATCTTGAAATAACCCTCAAAACTTGATTTATTTCTTCTTGAAATACTTCAAAAAGCCAGACAAGAAAGATGTTCAGTAATTTGTACTGAATTAAATTAACTAGGAACTGAATATGGCAATTAATTGTTTTTGTTATAATAAAAATAAACTTTAAAAATCATATCAGTTCGCATACCCTTTCATAATTAAGTAAAACTGTGAAATGTTGCCATTTCTATTCTTTCTGCTATATTAAAATAACACGTAACAAAGGTTAGAACACTTTACATAAACTACATCTGTGTTCGTACTACATTTTCTCAGTTCATTAAAAACTCAAGCATACTATGGTTTGAAACTAACTAGTGGCACATAATACAATAATCATTGTCTGTTATAGGCTTATTAAATACATGAAAAATATGACAAACATCCTTAATATTCACCCATATCTCAGAACATAAAAGGTGATATGCGTTTCTCTTTAGTTAAAAAGCTAAAATAAGGAAGGGTGGGGAGCCAGCTGCCTAACTGATCAGACGCATCCTGCGGGTGCTCCGGGTAAGATGAGAACCAAAACATCCTTTTACCCTGTTTCGAACCACAAATATTATCCAGGAGCGAGCCGACATTTCCATCTGCCATGGTAAGATAGTAAGAGAAGCCCCCGACTACTGCCGGTACCGGTGATCTATGATGGAGGCCCCAAAGCTCTGTAGGATGGGCCATCTTGCTCGTCCAGTGAAACATCCCAAACTGATCTGAAGGAGCTGGAGATACAGACCAGAGGCAAGAAAGCTGACATAATGAGCTGAGGAACCCCCCGGTGACCCTGAAGGCTCCACTAGATGATTTACGTTGAAATATCGCTGTAGACATCTCCACATTTAAAGTAGTATTTTAAGAAGTATCAGTCTGCCTAAGTGATACAGAGGTTGCCACAGCTGCCTACGAGACAAAGCTCACTGGCCTAGAACAGGAATTGTCGGTGCTGCAGCATGAACAGGTCCATGCCTTTCAGACATTGTTGGCTCGTACTGCTCACCTCCAGCCAGAGGATCAACAGCCTCCTCCAGCCCCTCCTGTCACTGTTGTACCCATAGTATACAAGGCCCCATCTATATCCCTCTCACCACGCCCTCATTTTGGTGGTGATGCTCAGGAAATGCTGACCCAAATCGAGTACCACTTTGAGGCCTCTCCCTGCTCCTTTCCTTTAGATACATCCAAGATTGGATATTTAGTTAATTAATTGATAGGGAAGGCATTAACCTGGGCAAATCCTTTATGGGATAGCAACAAGTCTATCGCTTATGATTATGCAGAATTTCTAGTGGAATTTAAACAAACATTTGAGCCGTTTGGTATGGAAATGAATGCGGCCAAAGCACTCATGCTCATAAAACAGGGCAATTGCTCTGTTGCTGATTATGCCATTGAGTTTGTACCCTTACTTCAGAGGTAGATTGGACAAGCAGTGGCCTTGTCTCTGCTTTCGCTGAAGGCCTGTCTGATACCATTCTAGATGAGGTTACTGCCAGGAACTTAGCAGAAACATTTAACAAACAAATCACATATACAATGCAAATAGATAACAGGCTAAGATAAAGGGAAAGAATCAGAAACAAAAACAGAAGAAATAGCACTTTTCGCTCTCCTTGCTTCTCCAACCCTGTTGTTCAAAAAAACAACAGGGTAGCTACCGAACCTGAACCTATGCAGTTAGGGGTTATGAGGCTATCTGAAACAGACAGTTCAAGAGGAGTGAGAGTCTGTGTATGTATTGTGGCAAGAAGGGAAATATGAGGGTTAATTGCCCGATAAGTTGAGTATATGTCCCCCACTATACCTCTTTCAAGACTTCTCCTTTCTGTTAGCATTCAGTCACATAGCCTGAGGTTAATTGCAAAGCCCTGTTAGATTCAGGAGCAGCAGAAAGCTTCATAGATGCACGCTTTGTGTCCACACGTGATATCCCTCTAAGGGAGAGGTCAACATCTTTGGCTGTTGAGGCCATAGATGGTAGACATCTTAGGAAACCACTCTTTACCCATGAGACCTTACCTGTTTCATTGCAAGTAGGGGCGTTGCATAGGAAACAGATCACTTTTCAGGCTATCTCCTCTTGTCTCATTGTACTTGGTTTTCCATGGCTAATCAAACATGATCCACGTATAGATTGGAGGAAAGGGGAGATACAAAAGTGGGGTGATGAGTGTAGTAACAGATGTGTAAAGCCTATAACCAAAAAGTTGGGTATAATCAATGTCTCTACTGCCTTTGCATTGTCCGCTATGGTTCCCTTTCTATATGGGGAGGTAAAGGAGGTTTTTAGCAAGATACATGCCAATACACTTCCTCTGCATAGATCCTATGATTGTTCTATAGATCTATTGCCAGGTACAATAACCCCAAAAGGGAGAGTTTATACCCTGTCTAACCTGGAAAGTAAAATCATGGAGGAATATATACGGGATGTGTTAACTAAATGTCATACGCAAATCCTCTTCCCCAGCTGGAGCAGGGTTTTTCTTTGTGTGTAAAAAAGTGTGCTCTGCGCCCTTGTATTGATTACAGGGCACTCAATAAAATCACCATAAGAAACGCTTACCCTATACCACTTATTTCTGAACTTTTTGACAGGTTTAAGAGGCCAAGATATTCAGTAAACTGGATTTAAGCAGTGCTAATAATCTGGTTAGAATCAAGGAAGTGCATGAATGAAAAACAGTGTTTGTCACAATCTGTTCCGTTCTGCACAGTGTGTATTTTATTGTTGTTTATTTAGTCATGCATATCTAGGCAGTTAGGACCCACTGTAATTGGTGTACTTTGGCGCAGCGGTGGACTGCATACATCTTGGACATTTATGTATGTCTAAATCTCCAATGTTTATTACATATATAGTACTTAGTTATGTCTCCCCTTGTTTTGCCTTATATCTCTTGTCTCATTTTATTTGTCTTGTATTCCCAGTTCATGTACAGTCCTGTCCTTTCCTGCCCCGTCCATGTCCTGTTCATGTTTCCCTCATGTATTGTGTATATGTTCTGGGTTCTGCTTTCTGTCCTGCTCCAGTTCTGGGTTCTTCTAGTCTTGTCTTGTTATCTTGTTTGGTGCATATTTTAATCTTACCTTGTTTCTAGTACTGGATACTTCTCTGCTGCAGAGCCCCCCTATCCAGATCCTGGGAGGTTATCATCTAGCACCTGGGATCCACAGAAGCTGCATCAGGGCCCTTGTATGTGGCCGCACAAATGCTGGTGCTCAACACCACAGGGCGTGTGGTCACCCTGCACCAGACCCTGAGTCCATTTCTACGCTGTGACTCCTATCTTCATCATCAGGCACACAGGGGTCCTGGTCTTTGGACCACCACCCGTGACAGTTTAATACCCGTAATGGGCATTACAAATACCTAGTCATGCCTTTTGGAATATGTAATGCCCCTGCTGTTTTCCAATATCTCATCAATAATGTCTTCCCTCGTGTTAGTATATCTAGATGACATACTAATATACTCACCTGATAAAGACATTCACTATGCTCAAGTTAAACTAGTTCTACAGACCTTATTTAAAAATGGTCTGTATTGCAAACTAGAAAAATGCCTATTCGATCAGAAGGAGGAACAGTTTCCTGGCTATAAGATATCTGCCTCAGGATTCAAGATGGATTCCAAGAATCTAGAGGCGGTGTTACAATGGCGTCTACCTCATGGTCTGAACGCTATCCAAAGATTCATCAGATTTTCTAATTATTATCGTAGATTTATTAAGGACTTTTCTATGATAATATCCCTGATCACCAAGGTACATTTTGGCCAAGAGAAGCCATTAATGCCGTTGAACAACTTAAGACTTCATTTGCTTCAGCTCTTATACTTGCTCATCCTGATCCCAGAAGGCCTTTAGTATTAGTAGTTAGATGTAGATGCCTCTAAAACAGGGGTTGGTGCTATACTGTCTCAGAGAGAGAGTCATGACAAACCACTGCATCCCTGTGGCTTCTTTTCAAAAAAGCTGTCCCAAGCGAAAAGGAATTATGACATTGGTAACAGGGAGCTATTTTCTGCCATATTGGCACTAAAGGATTGGAGACATCTAGTTAAAGAATTCAAAGACGGATTTGCGGGGGCGTGGCTTGGACGTCGACCGGGATGGAGGCTTGAACTGTGAGCTCCGCTCCTCCGACCCCGCGAAAGCCCTAATTATTAGCCCACATCAGCACACATGGGACGAAACCGTAGAGGTGACCCCACTGGGACACCCAGGAGCTCCCAGGCTGGCCAATCTTATGGCCCGATGGACGGCTTTCTGCAGACGCCGGCAGACACACGCGACGAGGCCGGAGACCCCAAGATGGCGGCGCACTCAGCCGCGACCGGAGACACCCCTGCCTCTACACTTGAGGGGATTGGGGACGAACTGCGCACGATTGCGGCCTCTATGGCCACGAAGGCAGACTTGTTGGTCCTGACCACTACCATCCAGGATGCGCTGAGGGCGGAAATGGCCGGCATACGCACAGAGGTGACGGCACAAGGTACCCGAATACAGGAGCTGGAACACTCCCACGAGGCCCATACTGCCAGGTTGGTGGCTACCGACACGGCTGTAGCACGACAGGGTGTCCTACTATTGCAGCTACGGAGAGCGGTCGAAGATCTTGATAACCGGGGCCGCAGATGCAACATCAGGGTACGGGGCCTGCCCGAAGCAGAAGGCGAGGAAGACGTTGAGGACACCCTAACGGCCCTATTCCGCATGATTTTGCCAGCGGACACCTCCCTGGCACTAAGGTATGAGAGAGCACATAGGGCCCTACGCCCCCGATCACTCGAGGACGGCCCCAGAGACATAATCTGTTGCATCCATTCATTTGCGACAAAAGACGCCATCATGAAGGCGGCCAGGGCCCAACCCACCTGGGACTATCATGGAGCACAAGTCTCGCTGTACAACGATCTGTCCCCGACCACCCTGGACGCTAGGAGGGCATTGCGGCCCATTACGTCTTTGCTGAGGGACCGCAACATCCCCTACAAATGGGGCTTCCCGTTTGCCCTATCAGCAAGACACAGGAATGGCTGGGTGTCACTCCGCGGCCCGGAGGAGGCCCCCGCCTTTCTGGAAGAACTTGGACTCCCTCCTACACCAATACCGGATTGGATCCTAGGGCCACTGGGGCCCGGCCAGAGGCCGCAACGCGCACCCCGCCGACGTGGGGGAAGATCACCGCCGAGACCTGCACAACGACGCCGTGAGGCGCAGGAAGGCCGAGATTGACGACCGTCATCCTGATGCCGCTCACCCACCCGCCAGCTAAGTACTGTCCCCACTGCTAGAGCACTACCCCCACCACCCCATACCGGACTGGGACTTGGCCCATTGCTGTTATTGTTGGCCGATTTACCCCTGACCAGAAACATTCCCCAACCCTGTCTAATGTGACTGCCGAGACAGGGGGGGGTATAGAAGGAGTATGAACAGTGGACACATCACCGGGAACTTTGCTGCTCCCCCTCTCCAACTCCCTTTTTTTTTTTTTTTCCTCTTCTCTCTCTCCTCTATGCCTGGGAAAACAGAGCTGGCCCACTGCACTGAAGCGCATGGTATCACTGCGGAACGAGACTTTTAGATCTGCTCACTGAGCAAATGACTACCTACCACTTTTTGGAGATGTATCCTTAGAACCTTCTCATCTCAATAAGTACCTCTTATTTTTACTGTACTTGATGCATTTAACTGTGATGTTGCACCACCCGCAGTGAGGTAGACTCGACTACACCTGGTAACAGAACAGGGGCACTAGACTTGCTTTACAGAGCGCCCTAGACTGACGACAGAAGGGGAGAACTGAGGAAGGGTAGGACAGGCAGCGGAACCAATGTATATATTTATGCTCTGAGGGGTCGAGAGGAGGGGGGACACCCGAGAGATTATATTTTGGAAGGGGAAAGGGGAGAGGGGATGAGAGACGTGAGCTGCGGGCCCAGGGAAAGGGGGAGAAAAGGAGAGGTAGGACAGGAGAGGAAGAGAAGAGAGGAGGAGGGCTGGTAACACGAGGGGGGTGTGGAGGGAAGGGGAGAAGACGGGGGGGAGGGGGAGGGGCCAGACCTATGACAAAGGGACAAGAGCGAAGGTAAAGAGAAGGGAAGGGGAGGGAATTGAGAACAGGTGGAAAAAAGGGGGGGGAAAAGGAAAAAACTTAATTAAATATTATCTCTAAAACTGTTAGCTATGTTACATATTACTTAGGGATAAATGAGATATATGAGACAGTACACTACTATGGCCCCTGGGACGCCCTGACATACCCCCGATCACAGTCTATGAGGAGACGTACGGCCCTACCTCACACCCAGAACCTACCCTACTGAGAAACAGAGTGACGGAGTTGGAGCTGTCACTTCCCATGGGATAAACCCGGCCCGACTGCTCTTGATATGATGTGTCAGAGGGGAACTTGAGACCGAGTGGAAAGATGGGGGGAGGTTATGGAAACTGCCTAGGACCAAACAAGGGGACCTGACCTAAGAGTACACTAGCAGTGACAGCGGGCAACAAGGGGTGATGAATGTTTCTGCATACTTATTGTTATTGATATTATTTTTGTATATACCTTAATCAATTATATCTGTTATCGTATAGCCTACCTTCTGATATGCCTAAATTCCCCATGTTCATACACACCTGGGCTAGGGCCCGGATGGAGCGGGATAGATATACATTCTACACACATACGCTTCACCATACCTGGTTTAGACACCGACCACTGCTCTACGCATTCACCTGCGCAAGTCTCTCGGCGGAGCCACAGGTACACCCACTCACCGATCTGGTTATCGGGGGGACACCTGGCCACTCCTGCTGAGGCGCAGGTACTCCTCCTTCTCGAAGGAGGCTCCGGGGTAATACCACCGTTTACCCCACGGGGACATTACCCGATAGGGGGGTTCTCTTTGCCCACCCTTATTTTAATCTATCAACCTACACTACACCACACTCATACTCCACACCCACATACTCTCTTACACGTACACACATACCCTTGCACATACCCCACTCACCGCAATCACCACACGCGTTTGGGCTCCACACAGGAACAAAGAGACAACACGCCTGACAGCGGACGACGACAAACAGGCTTCCCTGACGCTCCCTCCACCCTTCATAGACCCACATTAGCCATACGAACACCCGTACACTATCCTAACTCATCATCATTCGTGGGGCTGCGCCGTCGGCCCGGACCCTTGCGCCGCTCGGGCGGACCTCCTGCAGACGAGCGTACATCGACCCGGACAGAGCCATGGCATACCATCGCACCCCCATGACCGTCATGACACTCAATTGCAGGGGACTGAATATCCCGGAACGCCGCTCTCACCTGCTGAGGGTGCTGAAACAGAGGCATATATCGATCGCGATGCTACAAGAAACTCATTTCAAAGAAGGCGCTGCTCCCAAACTCCGTAACACATACTACCCTATAAGCTACTGCAACAACCACCCACTGGCTCGTCGGGCAGGAGTCGCAATACTGATAGCGGCGAACTTAGGTTTTCAGGAACTGGACCGGATGGTTGACGAACATGGACGCTTCCTATTTCTCAAAGGGGTGATAGCTGACAGAGTATACACCCTAGCGTCTATTTATGTACCCAATTCAAAACAAGCACAATTCCTGCGGACAACGCTACGCGCTCTACAAGGATTCTCGGAGGGGGCCCTCATAGTCGGGGGAGATTTTAATGCCCCCTTGGACCCGCTCCTGGACTCATCCACTGGCTACAGCAGCCTCTCACAAAAACACATTAGATCCATACGCAGATCATTAGGGGAGCTGTCGCTGGTCGATTGCTGGAGAACGCTACACCCCACCAGCAGAGACTACACGCACTATTCGGTGATACATGATCGCTACTCCCGGATTGACTATGTATTGATTAAGCAAGACGGACTATCTCGACTGAGAAAGGCATCCATAGAACCTGCAACATGGTCAGACCACGGATCGGTCCAAATAGAACTGGAGTCCCCGTTATTTAAACCGACAACCTGGACCTGGCGCCTGAACGAATCCCTACTCCAGGATTTCGCGGTGAGGACTGAGGTTTCCCAAGCACTGGAACACTACTTCCAGGAAAACGGAACGGACGAGATGTCCCCTATATCCGTGTGGGAAGCACACAAGAGTGTCATACGCGGCACTCTTATTAGCATTGCGACCCGCAAACGGAAGGAAGCAACCCGCGCGATAGCAGAATTGTACGGCACCATCTCGCGCCTCGAGCTTCAACACAAATGCTCACAACTAGTTGAAACATACCGCGAATTAATGGAAGCCAGACGTAACCTGACAGCCCTCCTTACAAAACGATACCTACGATCGCTTCAAAGGTCGAAAAACTTCTTTTATACACACGCGAATAAAGGGGGGAAATTCCTCGCGCGCCTACTCCGAGGAGATATGACACGCACGCAGGTACGAAAAATCCGACTGTCATCAGGCAGCATATCCCAGCACCCGGAGGACATAGCAAGGGAATTTCGAGAATACTATAATTCGCTATATAACCTCCGCCATTCGGAGGAGCCGACCCATAGGCAGGAATTGTCCCCACATATACGAACATATTTACAAGACACCATACGGACACAAATAAGCCCAGAAATGGCGTCCACACTGGATGAACCGGTTGCCACCGACGATCTGGCGGCGGCACTTAAATGTGCGAAAACGGGGAAAGCCCCGGGTCCGGATGGATTTCCCACGAGCTATTACAAGCACTTCGCCCAGATCCTACTGCCGTGGCTGACAAAGGCAGTCAACAAAGTAACGGAGGGGGGACAATTTGGAGTGGAATCCCTTACGGCAACGATAACCGTCATACTTAAACCCGGAAAAGACCCGGAACAGTGCGGCAGCTATCGTCCAATCTCCCTGCTGAATGTGGACACGAAACTCCTGACAAAAGTCTTGGCGACCAGATTTCAACAGATACTGCCAAATTTAGTCCATGTGGATCAGACGGGATTTATCCCGGGCCGAGAAGCTCGGGACAGTACGCTACGCCTTTTCTCTGTACAACATCACGCAAGGAAACACCGGAAGCCTCTCCTGCTGTTATCCACAGATGCGGAGAAGGCTTTCGACCGGGTAGATTGGTCGTACATGACCCGAACACTCCAGCACATGGGCTTAGGGCAGAGGATTATGGCGTGGATATCTGCCATATACAGCTCGCCGAGAGCGTCGGTTCGTGTTAACGGAGCTCTGACACCGAGCTTCGGAATTACAAACGGCACCAGACAGGGATGCCCCCTATCGCCGCTCCTATTCGCTCTCTCCCTGGAGCCACTGCTACAGGCAGTCCGAGATCAACCGGACATCCATGGCTATTCCTGGCAAGGCACGGAACATAAGGTGGCAGCTTATGCAGATGACCTCCTGTTCTTTATTTCCCAACCACGGATCACATTGCCGTGCATACTCTCAGAAATCGATAAATTTGGCCAGATATCCGGGTTTAAGCTAAACTTGGCGAAATGTGAGGCGCTAAACATCACCGTACCTGCGGCAGAATACCAATCACTAGGCACGCTCTTCCCATTTCGTTGGTGTGCAGGGGCAATGAAATACCTAGGAATCTGGATTCCTACGGATCCGAAGGATTTATAGCGACTGAATTTCGCACCACTCCTGCAGTCAATCGAATCGGACCTGAAAAAATGGGCTTACCCGCACATAACGTGGCATGGCCGCATAGCGGTCCTTAAAATGAACATTCTCCCGAGGATCCTATACTTATTCCAGACCATCCCAGCTGCCCTACCGTCGACATTCTTTTCGACACTCCGGTCGGCTGTTATCCATTACACGTGGAGAGGCGAAAGATCTAGACTACGCCACGACTTATTGTGTATGCCCAGGCACAGAGGGGGTCTAGCGCTGCCGGATTTCAAAAAGTACCACCAAGCGGCGACCCTACAACAGATCCTGGAGTGGCATGAAACAGACACGAGCAAGCAATGGGTGTATCTGGACAGGGAGGGAGACACCGCAAAACTAAAAGCGATGGTGTGGAGGAGACGGACGACCAGGAGCGGTAGGAAACAAGCCGAAGGCCCGGTAGAACAGACATTGCTTACATGCGAAAGCCTTAGGGAAATACCCAGGATCTCTCCGACCCCGAGCCCCTTGCTGCCGCTTGCACACAACCCCGATATAGGAGGTGGGCTGCCTGGGGAAGCCTGGACATTCCTGGGGGACGCAGAATACATCCCGATATCCTTGGTCACCCAAGATGGTACCCTAAAGACACTAGATGCGCTGCTGGTCGACCGACCACGATCACCGATGGCAATTCTCCGATATATACAGCTGCAACATTTTTACAACTCTTTGCCACATAAGGACAAACTACGAAGAGAGCTCACGTGGTTTGAGGACCTCTGCTTTCGTGGCGCATCACTAGGGAGATCAATCTCGAACCTGTACCAATACTTGCTGACCGACCACACGACGGACAACAACATCTTCCAACGACTCTGGGAACGGGCCATGGACAAGACTTTCACACTGACGCAGTGGGACAAAGCCCTGATATGGCAACATAAGAGCTCCTCTAGCTCGCGGTATCAGGAGGTAAACTATAAACTGATCTCCATGTGGTACAGAACACCGGTACTACTGCACAGGATCTTCCCTGCTGTCGAGCCAACGTGTTGGAGATGCCAGGAAGACAACGGGACTCTATTACACATCTGGTGGGAATGCAGACTTATAGCACCATTTTGGAACCAACTCAAATCAGATGTTCTCCTAATCCTTGGGAACGACACTGAATGGTCTCAAGAACTGGCCTTACTGCACATCTCCTCACAACCACTATCCGCATACAAAAAATCTGTACTACGCCATCTACTAAACGCCGCCAAATCACTCATTCCAGTATACTGGAAGAATACAGAAATCCCCACAAGAGAAGAGTGGATTCACAGAGTCGAAGACATTAGAGCGGCGGAGGCACTACAGGCAGAATTGACGGGCAGAGAGGCAAAGTATGCGAACATCTGGGAGCCATGGCTCACCTTCCGGGCGCAACAATAGGGGGGCGCTGGCGGGGGGGGCTGGGGGCCGGGGGACGGCGCAGCCCTCTCGACAGACTCACTACATACATTATAGCTGACGGCCGCCCAATGTCACTCCTGTTGGCAGACACTAAGCCTCATGTACCATCCACACCACCCCGACTGGACGAGACACTACAAAGGATGACTTGAGCCAACAAAAACGCCCCTAAGCGGCCCACATAAATACACACAATTAACTGACTAGTCGATACTCACATATCGCCCCTAACTAGACAGCACGACACAGCGACGGACTATGAGCCCTCACAGGCAAGAACAACGGCCTCCGGACCTCCACCACCCCCAAGGAGGGGAAGAGATAAAATGAGACAGATCTAACACTGCACGTTATCCACACCCAATTAGTTGATAAACGTCAGACACATCACCCTGACCCCCATGAGAACCCTGATTATACACCATATGACAAAACAGGCTGACTGGGACCTGACCGGACAGACGAACCATCCGAGGGACTGGGTGTTGCAGAACACAACGACCCTCACATGTAGGGACCCCTCGCCCTCAACCCTCCTTACTTATGACGACGATATACCTTCACACCCACGGGGCATTACGGCTAACTTGTACCTCATACCTCCATCAACACAAGACACCTAATACGACACTTCCGACGCACGCCTATTGCGACATGCACAACCCGATCATACAAGCTAGACATGGAACACAACACGGTCAGGCAACAGATTGACCAAGTCTGGGGAAACCTCATGACACAACTGGGCTCTCCCACAATGGCCCTCCTGCACCAAATGCGGACAGTTGAGAGAAGAATGAGAACACCTCGATTAAATATTCACATTGCTGGAGGGACTCCCACATGCTACCGTGTCCTCTTCTCGAACCAACACCATCCTCTTCCCATCCCACCTACAATAATTGTGTAATGCCACATATCTTTAATAACAACACTCAACAACGCCCTACCTGTGGGCTAAGACACACCCTAACCCAATGCATCACACCCCACTTACACACCTCTCGACGAGAAGATTTGACACACGAAACATTAGTATTCACACGGCTATAAGACGCCGATACATATCGATTACCCCGCACCGCCCTAGCCCTCAGGGGACTGATCTGAATAACTATGATTATCACGAGCTCTAGCTAAGTACCCCTGGGAGAGGGACACGGTAACGGCTACTATTAACGATCTCATGTTACCTAATAT